TGCAAAAACGCATAATCGCACCGGCCCGCCTGGTGCGTTCCAGCCTGGGTTCATTTCGAGACCTACAAAAGCTACAGGGCTGAAACTTTGGGAACTTAATCTGCATGCACGTACGAGCTCTCTTCTTCAGAGTGGACGCTCTTACCCGTGTGGTTCTCACGTACGAGCCCGTGGAAGTTTTTTGTGGGCAAGGTGCTAACTCGGGAAATGGCAAAGCTAGAAACTGGGGTTTTTTAAGGGATGTGTTAGTGACAAAGACCTGTGGAGTACTATGCAAAAAACGCATCTTCGCACCAGCAGTCGGTGGGCTGGCCAGTTATTTCGTAGATAATGGTATACGAACTGTTTAGTTGCGTCTTAATTTGCAATGTAACATGGGTTTTAGCATCACTAATTCATCGTAACTTTCGTGGTCTTGCTGGTGAACTTTGGCAAAAATCATTGTCTAATGCTTCTTTTGCGAAAACAACCATTCATTAACATTTTCTGGTGGTAATAGTATAGTGAACATTGAGAACTGCCAGTATTTTATTGCAAATAGTTGAATCGAGCAATTCCTCGTAAATTAGCTTCCTGGCAAACCTAATAAAGGAGCAGAAAAAGCAGTTAAAACTGTCAAATTCAATGTTACTTGGAGTGTAAGGGTATGGAGGTGAAGGGTATGCAAAAGCATGGGAAGATTAAACACTTTTAGTAGAATTCTTCGGCTTATGAAGAATTAGCAGCGATGTTTGATTGGCTAAGTAAAAGCATTATTGTGCAGGGTTCAGGCTTTTGTATCCATTGTTGTTATAAAAAGGAAAAAAAAAAGTGTTTTAGGTAAAACTGCATAATATAAAATTCTTTGTGTTGGACGAAGCGGATCGTATGCTCGGCAACGATTCATCATTTTACACAGACGTGATGAATTTGGTCCGAACTCCTGGCTTCCCATCGGTTTGTTCAGGAAATCTATGAATACCTTTTTTTTTATTTGGGTGAAAAAGGGGGGAGGGGGAGGGGGAACGAAGGAAAAGAATAGAAGTGCTGGAATGGTAATCGAGTTTTCTAGACATTTCGTAAAAGCAATTGTAATGGAACTGTGGACGTCAATGTAGTGAACTGAAAAAAGCAGTAATGACTGGACCAGTTCAACTAGGCCAAACTTAGACTAACTGTTATATTGGATAAGTTGTTCGCCGCCACCTGCCAAAGCATATAAAAAACGGGGATTTTTTGGATGTTGGATTGGTCAACGCAGTGAAATTTTGAAGGGGTTTTTCCTGTTACGACTTTATTTTCAGGATAGCTGCGGAATTTTTTTGCAAAACTGTGCAAGCAAAATTGCATTTGAACAGAATTGTTGAACTGAATTATGATTTTGGAAGACTATAAATGCTTTTTATTGTTGTAAAATCTGATGAATTCGATGCAGAGAGGGAGGGAGGTTGAGGGTTGCATGCGAAATTGATGCTTAGTAGCAGACGCTAAAATTGTCTAAGTTGCGCAGGAAAATGTCATGGAAGAGGTGCATGACTTGCAGAACGATTAAAATGGGAATTATGGTTTGGAATAAAATGTTATCAGTTAGGAATTAGGAATAAATTATTAAATTTCGTAAATTTTAAATTTTGGGATTTCATT